TATTTTTTACTTTATTTTTTTCGCTCTTCTAATGATTAACAAAAAGTGTCTGTATGACATTTGGTTATATATTCATAATTCTATGCATAAAATTATGAGATGATAAAAAAAAAAAAAAAAAGTGTTCAAAGTGGTTTGGGGTTGAAATATGTGTGTATATACATGCATATATTCAACATTGCGACGTTGCTACATTTGTAATACAACTGAACACGTGATCTGTATTAAATTATTTTAAAAATATGAATTTGAAAAGGTATATATACTATCACACACTTATGCATAATTTATATGGAAGAATTTTTTTTTTTAATTTTCATTACATCATTATTTCGTTATATCATTATGTCATTTTTCTATTATTTTCATTATATCACTATATCATTATTTTATTATTTTCTCGAATTGTGTACAAAAGAGAAAGCAAGAGAAGGCGCAAAAATAATACTCGTGTTAGCATAAGTGCAAATAGAATGAATAGAAAACGTTTGATTTGAAAAAAAAAAAAAAAAAAGAAGAAAAGTCTATACCTATTTATACAGAGTGGAAGGGAAAAGAAATGTAACCTGCACCATATGTACTTTTTGAAACAATTTTGTTAATAATAAAAGAAAAATAGAATTAAAGAATTGTAAAATATGACAACAGTTGGAAATTACGTTAAAGTATGGATAAATTGATAATTCTTAATTTATCGACAATATTGTTGGACTGCATTACAGTGTGGCAAACATGGGGTGTCCGCCCCACCTCTTCTTCAAAAGTGGAATAACATCCAGGAATTTTGATGATGCTTATTGGAGCAGCCAATCAAGCTTCAGTGTTACACATATATATACATATCTGTTTATATATATACTCCACCGTTTTCTTTGAATGGATTGAAGATATGAACCCTTTACAAGGTACACACACATACAGAAGACATCTCTATGAATAAGACATGCTTGGCATGTATACTTAAGATCGACATACATTACCATTTTGAACACGTGCCAAAACATACATAACATATGCGAATATAATCCCCATACACATATCCCTCTGTTACCCATCTATCGTTATGTATGTAACATAAAGAGATCATTCTTATATTAAAATAGTAATGTATGTTTTATTTTAAATTAAAGGATTAGATATACCACATCTATATATATAGTGTTTTTTTTATAAAATTCATACTGAAACATTTGAAAATTTTCATAGATGTTCTCATTTTGTAAATGTATATGTGTAAGCAAGGTATTACGGATCCGATATAATAAGTAATTGTGTGTATAAATAAGAAAAAAAAAAAAAAAAGGGGTAATTTTAAATGGTAATCAAAAAAGAGTATCTTTTTAATAAATATTAACTTGTTCATACATATATGTATATAAATGAGTAAATTATGGATGTACATATATGCAAATGGGGATAAATAGGTATATATCCATACATTATCAAAAACAAAAAAAGAACTACACATATAGAGAAATTATTTTTCACACAATAACCAATTATTTACGTATGAAAAAAGAAAAAAAAAAAGTAAAAAGTGCATAAAAACAAACTCAATTTTATATACAAACACGTGTAAATATAATATAATTCAAAAAGGAACGAGGAGAGTTTATATGCTATTTATAAATATAATGAAAGCTATAAATATATTTATATGATAAATGAATAAAATTACTTTAAAATAATATGTTTTAAACTTTTTAAAAAACAAAGACACTTTTTTGTTTTCAAATAAAAATTGAATTTCTTTTGCATGGTGCAAATGGAGCAGGAAAGGGGGTGGTTATTATGCGGCGTTTCCTCGTCCTTTTTGCTGATTGCCAAGTGTGCACTTTTGCTGTCTTTCAAGAGCATGTGCCGTATGTGTCATCATTTTTTTATTTTATTTTTTACGTTTTTATGTTTTTATATTTTTATATTTTTATGTTTTTATATTTTTACGTTTTAATGTTTCTAAATTTTTACGTTTTAATGTTTCTAAATTTTTACGTTTTAATGGTTCTATATTTTTATGTTTTCTAGTTTTCATTTTTTGTCTTCTTTTTTATCCTGAATCATTTGGACTGTTCTGAGTGGCAACACATGATTGGTTCAGATGATTCTAAAGATATGAACACTTCCGTTTTGTGGCTCGAGAAGCAGATAACATCATGTTACAAATAGTTAAGAATGTATATATGTTTATTCAATAGATAGGTTTTATATTTGCATCATTTGCTGTGAAGAAAAAAAAAGAAAAGCTCGTGATCCAAACACAATTTTGAATTTAGAAATCTGGGAAGGCACATTTTGTTATTTGTCATGCTTCGCACGTCCATGGGATGTTTCTCTCCCGGTGGGTAGGTGGTTAATGACATATTTCCTTTTTTTATCTATAAGACCAATATTTTCCTCTAGATTTTAGCTGATTTCTTTCTTTAACCCATACAAACCACTGTTTTTCATTTATCCATTTATTGATAAATGCATCCATCCACAAGTTGAACATGACATGTTTATCACTCTTCCATTTGGACCAATTATTTGATCTATTTTCTCTAATTCTTTGTTCTTTTTTCATAACCCAACTATTCCATTGAACCATTTCCTTATTTAACCTTTCTCTCCAGTTAAGCCAATTGGTTCTGTCTTGCATGTTGAGAGATTTGGCCCATGATTCTTCCCATTTAGACCAGTATTCATCTTCTTCACATTTCCAATCAGACATAATCCATGTAACAATTTTTTGATTTTTCCATTTAAGCCATTCTTTAACACTCCATACATCTAAATAGGTTTCATTGTTGGTAATCCAGTCTTTCCAATCTTTTTCCATTAATTCTTTTCCTTCAGTTTTTATCCATTCTTTCCATTCCACTTCATCTAATGTTAAGGATCGTTTTAAAATGTCTGATTTTACTTCATCATCCAGATATTCATGATAATGCATCCATTTGGAATCCATAAATTGAATAAATTCATCCCAATCTTTTTCTTTTCCATTTAGCCATTTTCCTTTTTCTTTTTCAATTGTGTCATTAAATTCTGTCCACTCTACATCTAATTTGTTCATCCAGTTTTTCCATTCGTTTTCTTTCCATTCTTCCGTTTTTTCTAACAATCTGGGGTGATATTCAATTGCTTGTTGTGGATTATAATTCAGACTATTTGGGTTGGGTGGGGGCTGTGCGTGGGGAAAAAGTGGGAAAGCAGAAATTAGCATGGAGGAATATTCATACATATATATACGTACATGAGTATACATGCACACATGAACCCGTAAGAAAATGGGATCAAAAAGGAGGTGAACATATATGCAGATGCACGTAGAGGGGGAAAACTTGTTGAAGAATCATATGTGTAAATTTTGCATCAACGTGAAAAATATATGCCCATATTGGAAACATAAAAAGAATAATTCATAAAAGTAGACAAGGTGCTTCAATCAAGCATTTACGAACGGCACAGATGTATCCCTCCCCCATATATATATATTACCACATGGGATATATTACATACGCATATATGTTAGTACTTACATGTGCAATGTTACTAAACATAACCGAGGAAGATGAAAAAAGGTAAATAATTGCAGCAATGATTGTAGAAAAGAATCCTTTATTATTATTATTGTTAGTTGGTGGCATTGGTCTCGGATTTCTGCTTCTCCTCATAAGTTGTCGTGATTGTGGATTATATACTTCCGTGGCCATATTATTTGGAACACCTCCATATGGAGAAGATGGAGAAAAGGGAGAAGACGAGGAAGCAGGGAGATTTCCTGGATGTCCATGCTGGTTTGGATGCCCGTGCTGGTTTGGATATCCATGCTGGTTTGGTGGCCCATAATTCTGAATTCCATTATATGCATTTGTAGATGCATAAGCGTGAGAACCTGTAGGAGGGGTATGAGTTGGTACTGATCCACCTAATGGAGTAAAGGTAGGTGTAACACCACTTGGCATATGTGAATATGAGTCTGTTGGATTATGTATTGGGACATCTGCCGATGTTGGTGTTTCCGTACTCGTGGACATGTTAGCATCAGTGGTGAATGCATAAACTGGTGTTGGTTCTGCGTTTGGTGTTGGAACAGCTGTAGGCACGCTTCCGTTTGTGTAGGGGGAGCCGTTTGGCACGTAATCATATATCTGCTTATAATATGATTCCATTTTGTTATGGTTTGATTTTTAACAAATAACAGAAAGAAATGTATATATATTATGGGTAATATAAATTGGTTATTGACAATGAATCGAATTAGAGGGGAACGAATGAATGTCTTCGAGTGTTGAGCAAAATGTCTTAGTTAGAGTCTTGATTAAGTAAAGGGTAAATTTTTTTTTTGCTACACAGCATATATAGATATATACAAAAATAAGTATGTCTAATGTGCTAATCTGATGAATTTGATATGATCTGTCATGTGACAGTAAATTTATCGGTAAGTTGTGAGAAAGGAAAAAATAAACATAAAACGGTTCTGAGTTTTCTATAATATGATGGGTTGTAATTTAAAGCGGATTCTGGAAATTGTATTCTTTTTCTTTCTCTTTTCTTTCTTCAAAAGGGTTTTTATTAATAAATCCATCAAAAATAAACTATTTTATAACTAAAACAATGAAACTGGACGAACAAACAATACAACTAATAGGGGCTTGGTTCTTAAGAGTTATTCATTTTGTGGGAAAACATTCCAATAATCATTATTTCTTTTCTAATTCAAACAAAATGTATGTACTATATATATATATATA